CTGAGCAGATCAGGCTACCCTGGGAGAGAGCTTGCTTGAGGCCTGGAAGGAAGCACAGGGACAGGGCTGGTGCCCTGAGTCTCCCTTCTTGTTGGTGCCTTTGTGCAGCTGTTCTCCTTGGCTCCTTAGGTCTCCTTTGGGGTCAGCAGGGGCATTCTTGCAGCCATGGTGAGGTCCTGGCAGGCTTGGCTCTGGCTGGCTGCCTTCTGGGTCCCCCTTTCTTAAGAGAATTGCTTTGTAGATTGGTGCTGTCCTGCCATGTGTCTGTCCTCTGTGTTGTACCCTGGGAGGGACTCTCCTGCCCTCCTGAAGGACTCAGGAGTATCTGTCAGTCTCTAGGGGAAACAGCAAATGCTTGGGCTGATTTTTCTCTGCCTGGGCTACAAGTGTGTATATACAAGTACTGCGAGTGAGTAGCAGTCCTCTTTGGTGTAAGCTGTCTAATGGTCTCTGTCTTCACTCTTCTCAGAAGCTGTCATACCTGGGTGCCTGTTGCTTTCTCGGGAGGTTGATGAGATACCTTTTCCTTGCTGTGTCATTTTGACACGAACACTGTTCCCCCTCTTACTTGCAACCTGCCCAGACCCCCAGCTGCTCAGGGCTCAGCTCGGCCTTGCCCAAGCTGCGTTTGCTCTTTCTCATCTGGAGATCTTGAAGAAACATTGCCAGAGCGGGTGTCCTGTTGTCTTGGTTATGAGCTGTGGTGCTTGCCTTGCACCAGCACTGTCCCATGGAGCATGGCAAGGAGGGAGGATTGTTTGGAGACTGTAGAGTCACAAAGTGGATCCTGATGGACCACTGGTCCCCTGGCCAGCTGTCCTGCACAGCACCCTTGGGTTTCTACCGGGGCTCTGGGGGAACTGGGGAGGTGCCAGCGGGATGTGTGGCACGGAGCATGTGCCCCTGCCGCAGCCTCTGCAGCACAAAGTCCGGGCTCCTGGCTCCAGACCTGCCTCCATCAGCAGTCCCTGGCAGGCGCTGGGCTGTGGGCAGGACGGCTCCTCTCTGGGCCCTTGGCTGCCAGGGCAGCAGTGTGCCGTGAGGGACAGGTCCTGTGTTCCCGCTGGGAGCCTGGCTGCCCTCTGAGGCTGTCCCATCGGCTGCTGGTGTGCTCTGAGCCCTTGTCTGCCTTGCACGTGAGCGATACACCAGGAGCAGGCACCACAGCTTTCATGCTAGAGGTGCAGGTAATTCTGCAGTACAACACCAGGCCTCTGCCCGGCCCTGCAAATTTGTATCTGCTCCCATCCACCGTCTCTAAAAATCCACTACAAGCTGCACTGCATGTAAGAAGATGCAGGGAACCAGGCCAGCAGGTGTTGGGTTTGGTTTCCCAGGTAAGACAGTAAATACATCTCCTAGGCCAAGCTCAGTGGTCCTGTGGCACATGTCTCTCTCAATGGGGACACGTTTAGCTGTGGAGCTGCTGCTGCCCTGGCAGGTGCTTCTAGATACCCTTCTCCTAGGTATGAGGTGTTTGCTCCCCTGGATACCTGTGAGTGTCCCTCCTGGAGAGCTGCTGTGCTGCAGCCGGCCGTGGCTGCAGAAGGAGAGCACAGGGTGTCTGCACAGCCTTGCCCCTCTTGGGGCTCGCTGGGTGCACTGGGGAGCAAGTGGCAGAACCCAGAAAATGCTTTGGCTGCACCTTGGCCGTGGGGAGGGTTTGGCTGCAATACTGGCACTGGGCTGCTCCCACCTCTGCCTTGGCCTCTCGGTGGTTGAGAAATAACCTCCCCTTGGCTGGGCAACCCCACGGGCAAAGAATCTGGTTCTTGCTGCAGGCAGCACATCAAAACTTGAGACCTGCTTCTCTGTTCTGGCTGTGCCTGCATCTGCTCTGTGGCCACAGGCAGAGCTGCTCCTTCCTTCCCTGCCTGCTGTCCCCATGCCAGTCTCACACCAGCAAAGCAGCTGTTTTGTCTGTCCCCTCATGCAGGGGCCCTGTGTTTTGATGGGAAGGGGGGTGGGCAGGCTGAAAAAACAAATTAATTACTGCCATAAAATAAATGCAGAATGAGGTTGTGAAATTCTGGGAAATGTGAGGCATCTTTCAGCAGATTTTAAGGGCTTGGCTATCAACTGGGGATGTATCTAATATCCCTCACTAGCAGTGCTTGTCCTGAGCTCCTGGGTGGGGGTTAGGAACCCCCACTTGCTCTTTATTTCCCAGGTTGATGAACTGATGAAGGGCAGCAGAGTTTTCCTACAGTGGGGTTTGGCAAGTGTTCTTCTCAGCTGTGCCAGGCAGGGTGTGTTGGTGTCCTCATAGAGAGATTTTTCTTCTGAAGCCTGAGCATGTAGATTAGCCTGGATGTGGGCAGCAGGGTTTTCCTACAGTGGGTTTTGGCAAGTGTTCTTCTCAGCTTTGCCATGCAGGGTGTGTTGGTGTCCTCATAGAAAGATTTTCTTCTGAAGTCTGAGCATGTAGATTAGCCTGGATGTGTTTTGAGGGGGTTGGATTTGTTTTTTTTAAACACTTGGGTTTGCTAGTTGCTGCAAGGGAGGATGAAGAGTGTTTTAGGATTTGGTGTCCAGGAGCTTTACTACAGAATCACTGACGGATTGGAGCTGGGTCCCTTGGTTAGGCTGGAGGGTGCCAGGCATGCCCAGCTTCTGCTCACCTTGGCTTTGTGGACAGTGTGTCTGTCTGTCCACTAGCACAGTCACACCTTCCTGGCCTCGTGCCTTGGTCCTAGCAGTCTCCACCATGACTTTGCAGGTCTGAGTCTCCACACTGGTGGACAGGATATCCACCCCATGGTGCTGGCCCGGCTGTGCTCCCTGGAGCAGCCTCCTGCCAGGCTGCAGCCTTTGCTTCGTGTTTTGTCTTCTGCAGCACTCTGCAAATGCTAATTAGTCTTCTCAGCACCTCGGCTAGATAAGGGATCCCTGTTCCTATCTCACAGATAAGAAAAGCAACAGAACTTGCTCCAAACAATCTCCTCCCTCCCTCGAAAAGATGATGGAGTCTGTGGCACCTGTCCTGTGCCCCTTTCTCCTCTTTCACTGAAGGTTATGAGGGGGGCTTCTCTTTGACCAGTCCTCAGAAAAAGCACAAGAACATCTGTGGCTGTGAGGCTCCTGAGCTGAGGCAGCTGGAGAAAAGGACTCGATGCCTTTGCTGCAAAGCCTGGGGCTGCAGTGTGGTGGGAGGAGGTGCCTTGGTGGGATGCTGGCAGTGAGGTCCCCCAGCTAGAGATCAGCACCTGATTGGGCTGCAGAGCAAGTTCAGGGTTTGTTTTGCACAGTGCCAGGCGTGCCAGTGCTGTCAGAGCAGGCAGAGGTGCCCCGTGCCTGTGGGGAACCGGCTGGCTGTGGGTCTGTGCTGTAGCACTCCGTGCCTTTTGAAACTGTATTTAGATGGTGACAAATGTGGGTGTTGAGTGGAGGATTTTAGGGGCTGCTTTGGAAGAGCTTGCTTTTCCTACACTAGCAGGAAAGTTTAAAAGCCTTGTGGCAAGCTTCGTGGAGTGGAGCTGGGATTTTCAGTGAGGTGCACATGGAATAAATGAGGGGCACGTGGGACTGCTGCCCCTCGTGGGGAGGGGCAGTGGAGGGGAGAAGGGAGGATCTGGGGACCTAGCTGAGAGCTTGGGCTCTCCGGGGCTGAAATGCCTACGCAGGAGCTTTAGGGAAGGGAACTGGGGCAGGGGAGCACACGTGGCCCTGTCCTGCTGTGTCTCACTCTGCCTTACTGACACTTCAAAGCCTGCAGCTCTGAGCCGGACTGGGCCAGCAAGATGAATCACAGGTTTTGGGGCTAGGAAGGGGACCGGTTTTGATCATCCAGGCAAAGTTGTCCTGCCTTACACAGGAGATCAAAGCCAGCTTTGAGTGGAGCTGAGTAGGCTATTCCGGGTGGTTTCCGGGGCATCCCCAGATAGACTCTGCCTGCCTCGGGGCTCTTCTCAGTTCCCTTCCATCCTCACCCCCCACCCCAGTCTGGGGTGTTTTTCTTTGAAACAAAGCCAGCAGAGTCAGCATAATTGCTGGAGTTGGTGGCATGGGCAGCTCCTGGAGGTGAGGGCTGGGGGACTCTCCACTCCTTGCAGAGCACCGTGGTGGAGGGAGACCCTGGAGAGCCTCGTACGTAGTGCTCACTGGGCTGGTGTGTGTTAGCTGGTAGCGTGCTGCTCTGTTGGGCTCCATGTGTGCCCTGCATGAGCCTCTTCCTGATCCAGAGACCTTGTAGCCAAAACTGGGAGGGAGAAAAGTCAAATTTCTGTTTGTGTTTGTAAGGAGGTGGGGTGTGTGCCAGAGCCAAGACAGGTCATGTTGGGGCTGAGGTCTTGACTTGCTCCAAGTCTTGTGTGGGGTCCATGGTGCTGCGAACCCTGGCAGTTGCACTCAGATACCTTAGAACACCCCAGAGGCACTCAAATGCCTAGATACTTTTGGCTGTAGCAGGGTTTAGGCACTTTGCAGATCTGACTCCCTCTCTTTGCGTTCCCTCCTGTGAACTCACTGCCTCGTGCTGGGATGTACTGGAGGTGAAAGCACGAGAGGAGCGGTGCCCGTGTGCCCCAGGCCTGCGTGTCCCTGTCAGAGCCAGACCCCCCCCTGCTCCCAGGGCTGGCTGACCCCGCTGGCACGGTGATGGGCCCTGCCTGTTCAAGGGCATGTTTGTTTTGCTGTGCACAACAGCAGATCAGGTTCATCGTGGTGCTTTACAGAGTGAGCTGAGCTCCTCACCACCCCTCCTCCCTGTCTGGCAAGGCCAAGTGGGGAGGGCCCAGCTAAGTCAGGGAGTGCCTTCCTATGGCAGGATGGGGTTAAAGGTCCATTTCTTGGCCACCTGGATTGATGAGGAGTTGTTTGATCTTGATGGGGCCCTTCTGAGACCCTGGCCAGACGCTGTTTTCTGTTCACCTTCTCGTTTTAGCCCCCTTCTACTGAAGGGGGACCTCACTTGCTTCCCTTCTGCTTCCCTCCAGAGCTGACACTTCCACAATCCTCAGCTGTGTTTTTACAGTTTTGTTCTCCTCTTCCTCCTTTTGCAGAGCACACAACTCCTGCGAAAGTGGTGAGGGCTGCCAACCCGAGACAGCGGAAAGGAAGCAAGGTAAGGCTGTGCCTCCTGTCCCCTCACTGGCCACCAGCTTCTGGTGCAGTTGGCAGCTCGAGGGTCTGGGGAGCAGGTCGTTTCTTTTCCAAGCCTGGTTATGGAGTGGTTGACATGCTGGCCTGGCTGCTCGCAAGAGTGCAGAGGAGAACATCCTGATTTTTACATCTCCTCTTCATCCTTTTAGAGGTCTTGTGTACTGCCTGGACTGGATTTCTGCCCAGCTAGGTCAGAGGAGACCTTCTCATGTCCTCTCTCACAGGGAGGTTCCTGGAGCACAGTACTGGATGTGGAAAGCCTCTCCTCCCACCTCCAGGACCTCTCAAGTCCCACGTGGGCTTAGCCAGTGCCCCGCTTTGCAGTGCAGCCAGGGCAATAGTGGGGTAGGGTGATGTGTCCACGGGTCCTCCCTGCCCTCTCCAGACTGTTTTTCCTGGCACACGGAGAGCCAGGGTAATTGTTTTCAAACAAAGCGACTCCTTTGGAGGATCCAGGGCACTCTGTCCCAGAGGATCAAACATGGGATGGAGGGACAGTTGCTTCTGAGGGTGTTGCGTGCAGATGGGGCACAGCTCAGGACATAGGCTGTTGGTGTTGGCTTCCAGCAGCCAGTGAAGATTCATCTCAAGCTTGATGTGACTTCCTTTAACTGTTCCACCCCAGGGAGCAGGGCCCTGAGGATGGAAGGTATTCCTGGCTGAAATGGGCATAGTCCTGCACAGGGGAGGGTGACTTTTTTCCTGGAATTTTGCCATCAGTTCTACTAGGTGATCCCTTGTTTCGTTGCTGCCGTCAGTCAGTGAGGCTGTGCCTGGCTGTAACTTGCCACTAGGTGGAGGCAGCTTCTTTCATGGGATGTAGTTGCTCCAGGTGGGTTTAGGATACTGAGAGCTCTGTGCTTCCCCTGTCCAAGGGACAGTGCCTGTGACAAGTGAGTTACCTGGAGCAGCTTGGTGCCAAATGCTGCTGCTGGGCCCAAACGTTTTGTGGGTGCTGGGAAGCTGGTAGCTTACAGGGCTGGTGGTAATCTCATTAGGATCCCTGATAGGCATGAACTTGTCTGCAGTTATTTGGGATTAATTTGGGGGCCCTGCTTGGGTGGGGAGAGGGGCCACAAACCTCCTGGGGACAGCCATCTGTGGGACACTGGTAGGTGGTGGCTGGAAGGGTTTCTGGTGTGGGGGATGGCACCCACAGCCTGTGCACTGATGAGATCTTTCTCTTTTGGTACAAGGTTGGTGACTTCGGTGATGCCACAAATTGGCCAACACCTGGAGAAATAGCCCACAAGAGTGTCCAGGTGAGAGCACAGAATCGCTCCGGTGGGCGGGCTAAGGCCCTTGCAGACCTCTCTGTCCCTGTGCAGTGCTGGGAGCACTGCCTGGGCCAGGCCATCTGGGGTCCTGAGTGCAGTGCAGAGGCAGCCAGGAATAGCGTGCAGGGAATTTCCTTTTAGGGCTGCCCTGTGCGTTAGGCCCCCTCCCTCAGTGCTATTCTGGGAGCCTGGAGCCCGCTCTGAACCCCTGGGCGAGGCGAAGCAGGTAGGGCAGCTCCCAGACCTGCTTTCCTCAGGCCTGCCCGGTGCCAGACGGGGCCTGGGCAAAAGTCAGCACTTCCCAGAGACACTGAAAATGCGTGAGAGGAGTGGAGTGCCCGAGGGCCGTGGCCTTGCTCTCCTGCCGTGGACGTGGGTGTCGTTGAGACTTTGCTATTTTTGGATGCTGGTTTGCCAGCTCTTGGCTGGCTGTCAGGGCATGAGGAGCACTCGCCCTTCTACCATTGGGGTGGTCTGGTCCTTTGTAGGGCACTTCCATCCAGGAACACCAGGCCTGCCTGGCAGTCAATCTCGGTTACTTCTGTGCCTGAGGCTTGTAGCTCGGCTCGAGCACTTCCCGGCATCTGTAGAGGCCCTTCTGCTCAGACATAAGCCCTTGCCCAGGAACAGGACAGCTCTGGGAGGTACAGAGTAGAGATGATTCCAGCCTAGGGCTAGGTCCTCATGTTTCTGGGGTCTGCCTCCAGCTCTTTACTTCTTCCACCTCTCACATCTCCCCTACACTGATGTCTCCAGCAGCCACACAAAGCACCAACCCTCCGGAAACTGTCTGTCAAGAAAGACATGAAAGAGCAGGAGAAAGGGGATGGGAGTGATGGCAAAGAGAGCCTGAAAACCAAGTCGGATGAGTCGGGGGAGGAGAAGAATGGTGACGATGACAACCAGAAGTCAGCCCAGAAGAAGAAAGGTAAGGCAGGATGTGGTGGGGGCCTTCACTTCACCTTGCTGCAGGATGTGATCCCAGCATGGGGACAACTGTAGTGAAAAGGTGTTTGCAGGCTTCAAGGGGCTCGTGTCATTTTGGTGGGAGTGCGTGGAGCCGGGGCCCAAGTAGGAGCATCTGTGTGTCTGGGAGAGTGGCAGGAGTTTGCCCTCTCAGATGTGCTCCGTGGTGGCACAGAAAGCCCCTGACTGTGGGTTGCCTCAGATGAGGTTAACTCATGGGCTCAGTCTGTCTGGAGCCTTGGTGGGCAGAAAGAAGTGGAGGAAGGACAAGTGTTGTGAAGCAGCAGAGTTCTGTCATGTCTCTCCATGCTCAAGAGTCCTGGCTGGAGCCTTTCTACATCCAGTGAGGTCTGGAGTGATGTCTGAGGCCAGGGTCAGTCCAGAAAGCCCTTGTGCTTTCTCTTCTCCAGGTGTGGGGGCTGTGTGGCAGAAGGGGGCAGTGGGGAAGGAGGCAGACTCTCTCTGAACTTGTCACACCCAAACCCTGTCCTTTTGCAGGCAACAAACACAAGTGGGTCCCTTTGCAGATAGACATGAAGTCGGAGGTGCCTAGGGACAAAACGGCCTCTCGGAACAACCGGCAAAACGAGCAGCACAGGCACCCCTCCAGCACCCGCAGCGAGCTGAAAGGTGGGGGCTCGGGCGGGGGTCCCGCGCCGCCCGCCCTGGCTGGGGGGC